TTGTCTTGCTGAACTAAAAAGACATCTGAGCTCCATTGGTGATAAAGATGGAGGTTAATTGTGTATTTCCACAGGGTACTCCTGGAATGGGGATTGTTAGCATGGGAAAAAAGAGTCAAGTCACACAGGATTTCAGCTGTTTGTAAAACACTCCTCATATACACTAATTCTTGTTTGCTTGCACAGCCTCAAGAGGTCAACATTTGGGGAAACTGAGTCTTAAGAGAGGTTCATTGAATTGGTCATTCAAGCAGTAAGCAGTTAAACACACACAGTAATGCTTACCATAGCGAGTTAAGGATTCTCTCCAATACAAAAGTCTGCTTTTCTTTCTTTCATTCTCTAAGGAACTCGGAAATGAAAACACAGGGTGAGGGGTCCAAAATGATGCTGGCTGGGAGGATAATTCAAGTTACAGCTGCAAGCTGGCATTGAAACACAACCACCCACTGAACTTCCCAGGCCAGTCCAGTCCACAGGTTCGGCTGTCCCTGGCCTCTTGCTGGCAGTAGCAAATGGAGAAGGCCAAGGGCAAGGCTGCCCACAGCAGGGAGATTGTGGCAGGCCTGAGTGAGTTAGTGCCTCCTCCAGGAGGCAGGAGCCCAAGCAGAGATGTCTTCAGGCAGAGAAGGGACTGGAGGCAGGACCGCTCATTTCCTCACTGACTGCGGAGAGGCTAAATGTCCCAGAACTGGAACGCTACTGAGCTACGAAACCCTAGGACCCATGCCCTGGGGTTGGGGGTACCACAGGGCTCATTCCTCAGAAAGGATGTCTTCCCCAGGTAGTGATCCTGCTCTTAAGAGAGTGAAACAACCATTGGAAATGTTTATTTCTCTTTTCTTTCCTCCTCCATCACTCCATAGTTAATGAGTGCACAGGGAGAGCCCATTCCATTGTGTCCTGAGCCTTTTGAAGCACCAGTGTATGCAATACCCATCCTGCTCAGCCCCTGAGGTGGGGGAGGGGTACGCAAGAGCAATGGTGGGATTTCCTGTGTGACAATTTATTTTGGGTGGACTATGGTTTGTGATCAGACATTCTTCTGGCTGTCTCTGTGGGAGTGAGAGTGTCTTTAGGAGATACTATTAACATTGAAAGTTTTTGAGTGGAGTGGATTGCCCGATTGCATCCCAGTGACAATGGGCTTCCTCTAACCAGTTGAAGGTCCTATGCCAACCCAAGAATGGTATCCCATGATCCAGAAGGTGCCCTCTGCCTTGAAATGCAGCAGCATCTCTGCCCTAGCGTTCCAGATGACCAGCCAACCCTGCAGACTTGGGGCTTGCCAGCCTCAACAACACACAAGCCAATTCCTTAAATAAATAAGTTTCTTTGCACATATGGGTCTTTAAAAAAAAAAAAACACCAAAAAACCAAAGTGTCACCATGTTGCTCTTGTTGGCCTAGAACTCACTATATTAACTAGGCTGGACTTGAACTCACAGAGATCTACATGCTTATGTCTCCCGAGTGCTGGAATTAAAGATATGCACCACCAAGTCCAGCTGATGTGTGTGTGTGTGTGTGTGTGTGTGTGTGTGTGGCTATGTGTATCAGACTTTGTTCTTGGTGAGTCAAAAAGAGTGAGGCAGAAAAAAAAAAGAACTACACTTTCTGTTGTTAGTGTTGTTGCTCTAGGCTAACCTTATAAGTTGAGTACCATCATGGGAAGCATTTCTTCATGTGCTTGGGGAATACAGTTACTATTTAAATCTACTCTGCAAGAGGCCATTGAGGTCTTTCAGCATTGAGTGTATTTAGTGCTGGAGGTGGGCCATGCTTCATCCACCCGCATGGAATTATCCGTGCCCACCTTTCCCCAGTGGCATTTCAGGGAAGGATGCCTGTCTTCTTCGATCTCCAGGAGAATGACCTCCGTGTTGAAACTGCCTCCTGAAAACTCTCTGGGACCGAGGGCTCTGTCCCCTTTCTGTTAGAATTCGCCTTCACTACACTGAAAATAGACAGGTGCTTTTCTCTCCGGCCAGGGTTCAAGGATGCCTGTGTATGGCACAGGCATCAGGGACCTTCAGAGGGGTCACTAGGCAAGCAGAGCCTCTCTTCTTTGTGGAGGAGGCTGTGAGCATTCACTGACTCTTTTGTTCAGATAGGGCCAAGTGGTCCTTATGGAATCCACAATGGGACAGGACCACTTGCTGCAGAGGATGACCCAGGACAGGGCATTTGGGAAAGAAGAGCCTGGCAGACTTGTCCCTGAAAGCCACTTTCCTCCAGGGGAAGAGGAGGCTGGCTTCTGCAAGCCCAGCACTTTCCTTCCCAGATGTCCCAGTCAGGGGCTTGCCAGGCAAATCCTCCCTCACCCCATGGATAGCCATGGGGTGGGGCAGGGTTATATTACCTGCTGAAGCAATGCCCCTTCTCCCCCCCATTGCATTTTAGAAAGGAAGGAGGGCTGAGGAGATGGCTTAGTGGGTAAAGCAAGTGGGTAAGGTGATGCCTCGAGTTCAAATCCCCAGAAACCATGAAAACACCATGCATGTTAGCAAACTCCTGTCATCCCAACAATCCCATGACAAGATGGGAGACAGAGACAGGGGAATCTCTGGGATCTTCCGGGCCAGCCACCCTGGCTTATAATACAGCAATAGACAACTGAGAGTCTGTCTCAAACAAGGTGGAAAATTAGGACTAACACTTGAGGTTGTGGTCTGACTTCTCCATGTGGGCCATGGCATACATGCCCCTTTCTCTCCCTTGGGGTCTTGACTGTTGGAGCTGCTGCAGCAGCTTTGGGGGTATACAGAAAGAAAACTGGGGGCTCAGGTTAGGCCATTTCTTACCTGAGTGTTCTGTAACCTTAGTCTGTCATCTGTGTGACAGATTCTATTGGTAACATTGTGATGCAATCCCAAAGCAAGAAGACCATAGCCTTTGCCTCATGCTCTGGGGATCCCCAATCTCATGTAGACCCCGGAAGCAGGGCCCTGGGAGACTCTGCTCCTAAGACATCGTGGCAAAGTGCTGTAATTTCGGATTCAGGAAACGCTGCCCTTGGCTCCCTTAATTTTCTCCACAAAATTAGAAGAGGGAGAAATAAAATGTCAGAAACACACATTTAATTCATGTTCATTTCTCAGTGCCATCCCTTTCTGTTCCTGCTTTGGTCCTTGGTCACTGTAAATCAGTTAAAAAAAAAATGGTTTCAAATAGAAAAGGACAAGGAAGTGGGGGAGCAGCTCTTCACATTTAATCTTCCTCTGGCGCCAGTTAGGATTTTAATTTTGAAGCATCGTAGGAAGGCAGAGGTGGCCTTTGGCCCACTGAGAGGCAGAATAATCTTAAACGTGGTGGGGGAATGGGAGTACCGTGTGTGTGTGTGTGTGTGTGTGTGTGTGTGTGTGTGTGTGTGAGAGAGAGAGAGAGAGAGAGAGGTATTCCATCACTTAAAAATAAAGATTTCTCCCAGGGCTGGTGGGAGGAGCAGGCATTTCCAATCCCTCTTTAATGGGCATATAAGCAAAACCATTCGAGAGCAACGTCTTACCTGGGCTTAAAAAGATGTGAAGAAAAAAAAAAAACCTGAAAAGGTGCAGAAATGTGACTTCATTAAAATTTACTCAAGGAAAAACGACACTCTCCAAGGCTCCTATATCTCTGAGAATGTCGGGAGCTAAACCAAGAAAGGAAGAAGCTAGGTGGGTTAGTTGCGAGTTTTAAACTCTGAAATAAATCTGAGGGACTCCCGGGCTAGCTAGCTGCACCCAGCTCTCTGGGATCGCCACGGCCGGCTTGCTCTGCCCCCTAGTGGACACATCTGGTGCCGCAGCTCCGGCTGCGGGAAAGCCGGCCGCCTTCAGACAGCGCGGCGTGCTGACACGCTCTCCGCTTGCCATGGGTCCGCATCCCGCCGCCAGCAAAGCCGCGGGCTAGGGGACTGCAAAGATCTACGCGGAAGATCTACCGGCGGTGGCCCCGAGGGTGGCGCCGGCAGCTCTCCCGCCCAGGGCGCAGAGTCGGTGCATCCCCGAGGCCGTCCGCTGCGCTGCAACTTCCCCGGCGGCAAGGCAACTTCAGGCTGACCTGCGGGCTGGCTTCAGGTGGCTGGCTCGTGCGCCCCGTGGGGACAGGGTGGCTAGAACCAGTGGGAGCATCAGGTTCCGATTCCCCGATAAAAGCGACAGGCTTGGACGAGGACGCAGAGCCCTCGACTGTCGGGGCTGCTGCAGCCATGAGGTTGCTGGGGGTGGGGGGTTCCCGCGAAGGAGGTCCCCCCGAAGTCTGTGGCATAGTGGCCCTGCGTGGCGGGAGGGCGGGGGTGGGGGTGGGGAACGCTGCGCTTGCGGGCAGGAGTCCCTCCCGCGGCTAGCGGCGTCCGCAAGTTCTGGGAGCCAGGGAGGGTTCGCGCGTCTCGGAGGCTGGAGGGGAAGAAGGAGGAGCTTTTGGGGGGCTCCAGGTAGATGGACCCGAGGTAAAGCTTACCAAGATGGGGGCTGGCTTCGGGGGTCCCTTAGGAGGCGGCTGTGTCAGGTGTCTTGAGGGGAGGGGAGAGGTGTAGGTTTGGGGGTTCCCCGGGTGGGGGCGGGGAGGCTCTCGGGGTGGGCGTCCCCGTCCTCGGGGCGGGGGAAGCGGTCAATCGCGAGCCCCCTCTCTCCGCAGGTGGAGCGGCTGACCCCTTCCCCGGGACTCCAGCGCAAGGGCATCTGCAGAGGCTCAAAAAGGCACCGCGACCCGGGATTCCCGCCGTCTCCACGGAGGAACCCCCACCGCCGAGCAGTTCCCACGCCTGGGCTGGCGCCCCGAGAGACTCAGGTAATTGCAGATTCCCAGCAAGGGGACTGGCGCGCGTCCCGAGCGCAGCGCAGCCGTCTTCTCACCGTCCTCCCGGCTCGTTTCAGGGCGGGAACGGCCAGGTCGGTGCCCCACCCCCCAGCCCCCGGGGCTCCCGCAGGCACCTGGACGGCGCATCGGGCCCCGCCCCCCCTCCTGCCACGCTTTAAAGAGCCCGCAAGGCCAGCTGCTCCGTCGCGGTCACGGTCATGGAGGGTACGCCCGCAGCCAACTGGAGCACCGAGCCGGAGCTCGGGAGCGGCGCGCCACCGGGGACGGAGGGAAACGGCACGGCCGGGCCGCCGCGGCGCAACGAGGCCCTGGCGCGGGTGGAGGTGGCGGTGCTGTGCCTCATTCTGTTCCTGGCCCTGAGCGGCAACACGTGCGTGCTGCTGGCGCTGCGCACCACGCGCCACAAGCGCTCCCGCCTCTTCTTTTTCATGAAGCACCTGAGCATCGCCGACCTGGTGGTGGCGGTGTTCCAGGTGCTCCCGCAGCTGCTGTGGGACATCACCTTCCGCTTCTACGGGCCGGACCTGCTGTGCCGCCTGGTCAAGTACTTGCAGGTGGTGGGCATGTTCGCGTCCACCTACCTGCTGCTGCTCATGTCGCTCGACCGCTGCCTGGCCATCTGCCAGCCGCTGCGCTCGCTGCGCCGCCGGACTGACCGCCTGGCGGTGCTGGCGACGTGGCTCGGCTGCCTGGTGGCCAGCGCGCCGCAGGTGCACATCTTCTCGCTGCGCGAGGTGGCCGACGGCGTCTTTGACTGCTGGGCGGTCTTCATCCAGCCCTGGGGGCCTAAGGCCTACGTCACGTGGATCACGCTTGCCGTCTACATTGTGCCGGTCATCGTGCTGGCCGCCTGCTACGGCCTCATCAGCTACAAGATCTGGCAGAACTTGCGACTCAAGACGGCAGCGGCGGCGGCCGAGGGGAATGACGCCGCCGCTGGTGGGGCTGGGCGTGCAGCCTTGGCGCGGGTCAGCAGCGTCAAGCTCATCTCCAAGGCCAAGATCCGCACGGTGAAGATGACCTTCATCATCGTACTGGCCTTCATCGTGTGCTGGACGCCTTTCTTCTTCGTGCAGATGTGGAGCGTCTGGGACGTGAACGCACCTAAGGAAGGTAGTGGGGGCGGGGTGGAGAGGGGAGAGGGCAGGGCTGGGCTCTAGTTCAGCTACCTCTGTTCTCCCAAGGTTTGGGGGTCTTCCTGGGCGGGGAGGGGGTAAGCTGGTTTCACATCATAACTCTCTGGTCCATAGACTTTGAGGAGGTCACTTCTCTGAGGCTCCAGGAGTACAGCATGGAAATACCCATGAAAGTACCAACTCTTGCCAGAGAGCAGGCAAATTCCCCAGTACAGGCCTTGGGTAACTTTCAGTGCAAAATTCTTATTATGGAGGGGGAAACTGAGGCAGGTGATGAGAGAGAGAGAGAGAGAGAGAGAGAGAGAGAGAGAGAGAGAGGTTTCCAACTTGAGTAAGGGCCCAGGCTCCTGCTTTGAGTTCACTTGATATTGAACTACTTTCAGTTAAGTTGGCCCGGACTCAAAGTCAGTGGTGGTGGATAGGGTCAACCTCAGGAAGGAACAGTTGGTCCAATGAAAGCTGAACATGTCTCCCAAGGGACCTCTGGGGAGGTCAAGACAGATCCCAGAGCGTCTTGTCTGGTGGAGGTAATGGAGAGGTGAGTGAGTACCTTAGAGGCCCTGGGCAGGGACAGGGCTGGGGTGTCCAGGACTAAGTCTTGTATTTAGGAGAGAGGAAGGGAGCCAAGAGGACAGTGGTCAGCTTTGACTGGAAGTCTGTGTGATTGTCACACAGGAGGGAAGGGCCACCGAGCTTGTAGGATGGCAGCCTGCATTTGTTAGAAGCCAGGAGGGGGCTGACTAGCACATTGGGAGGAAGGGGCCGGGGAAGGAGAGCAGCCAGGGCTGAGCACCAGGTGAAGCAGATCTCCCTCAATCCCGCCAGCCCCAATGGCTTATTTGGAAACAGCAGCAGCTACCATCACCAGTGGCCCTGCCTTCCACTTTGCCTTCAAGGTTAGCACAGCCCACATCTGGGAAAGCCTGAGTCTCACTTCACAGGCCAAGCGGAAAGGACTCAGCTGTTCTAACCCTAGATAGTGCAAAATCTCATTATGGATATGATCACCGCTGCTCCCAACACCAAGTCCCTCTGCTTGGGAAGCTGGATTCCTGAACCTGGAAATGAAGAGCCACGACCAGAAAGCTGAGAGAGGTGTGAGACTGAAGTGGGACTTTCCATGTCAGGCTTCAGGCCTAGCTACTTCCTCAGCAGGATTGGAGGATCCTAGCCCATGCTGTGCAGAGGGAACTCCAGTACCAATGGCTGAAGATACTAGATGGGCACCTTGTCTGGGGGAATACCTGCTATTTTAGTAAGTTTTCTTGCCACTGTGACAAGAGCAAAGGGAAAAGGGTTTATTTTGGCTCCCAGTTTGAGGGTACACGGTCTGTCATGGTGGGAAGAGGTAACGGCAGGCGTGGGGCAGCTGGTCACGCGGCTTCCCCTGGCAGAAAGCAGGCAGAGATGAGAGCCGTTGCCCAGCTCCAATTTTCCTTATTTAGCTTAGGCCCCAGCCCACAGATGGTACCACCTACTCTCAGGGAGTGTCTCTTTTCCCGGTGTAAACCCCTCTGGAAATGTCCCCTTCATGGGCATGTCCAGAGGTGTATCTCCTAAGTGACTCCCCCTGACATCTGGTCCTGTCTCCTGCGCTAACTGCTCTGAGATGCTGGATCAGGACCCTTTTGTCCCATGACCCTCTGTGTCTAGCTCTGAGGATGAGGACAGTTTCCTGTAGTGTCTGTGGTAGGGATACCTTGGAGTGCTTTGTTCTTCAGCTTTCTAGTCCTGCAGAAAGCCATGGGGGAGGGTGGACACAGGGACACTGGGCAGGTTTTTCCTTCTTGGCCCTGGAACACTCTCCGTCTTGATCCTACAGGTGAAGCATTGAAATCTGATGGGCAGTTCTCAGCTGTCTTGGCTCCTGGAGGGGGAAGGTTGGGAGCACTTGTGTGCTTTTGGCTTGCATGGAGCTGTCTCCCTGGGTTCTGCTGCAGGTGGCTTTAGCTCTCCAGCTCGCAAAGGTTTGGAATAATGTTGGAAACTAGGGAATGAGGCTTGGTGCACAGCATTTCCCTTCTGACAGCTGTTCAAGTGGGAGAAGTGAAGAGGTAAAGGTAGCATGGAGGCCTGGGATCTGGGAGATTAGCCTGCTGTTTGGGGGACCTTAGATTTGGGGGGCTAACTCTACAGCCTGGGTCACAGCATACTCTTTGTGGAGCCTAGGTTGAGGCTAGGCCTGGAGCCTGTTTGCTCCCCCCCCTCCCCCATCTTGTCATGGCAAGTTAGAAACTGAGAGCACTGAAAGGCTTCTCCTAGTGCCTGGGCTGTAAGGAGGATTCCCTAGGCTTCATTAGGCCCTGGTGGCAGAGGTTTTCATGCACAGGAAGGAGCAAGTCCCCATCAGAGACTTGCTGCCTGTAGCACTGGGGCATTTCAAACAGCTATGATAGAGAGACTCCCTTTCTGGGTACCAGCTTGGGTTAAGTGAGGACTTAGCTGAATGCTTACCCATGCATCACCTGTGTGTGCCCGGATGCCCTCTGGTTCTCATCAAACTCAGCAAGATTAGCCCAGCTGAATATGAGCAGAGTGAAGCCCAGAGAGGCAATGCTTCCAGGCCAGTGCTGAGTCAGGAGTAGGGCTAGGATCTGACCCCGCGTAATCTCCCAGTGGAGATGGATAGGCTGAATTGTCCCCCACCGCACCCCAGTGAGGGAAACCTCAGCATCAGGATTTCCTGGGCACTTGTCAAGGTGCTGGATTGTGGGCCCCATTGCAGACCCACGGGAATAGAGGAGTGTCTCTATTCTGTCTCTCTGGCTCCATCATCCTGACATCCTGGGTTTTTCTGCGCCTCACCCCACCATGCCCCTGCCAAAAAACATGGTGCTTTCAGTGCTCTGGGTTCAAAAGCCCCATTGTTTGGGCCCTAAAGCCTTGCACAGTCTCTGTTACCTTAGCCACCTTTGCTCCTTTCTCTTCCCACCACTGCCTTCTTGGCTAGAAGCATGACTTCACCTCACCACTCTTCGTAGGTTGGGACAGATCACCTTGTGTGTATGTATGTATACAAGAGAGTGTCTACATGTGTGTATGGGTGTTAAGAGAAGTCTGTGTATGCGTGTATTCAAGTGGTTATGAGTGCAGGTATGTGTGTGTGTGTTTGTTTATACATGTGTTTATGTGGGTGTAGGCTTGTGGTTGAATGTCTGTGTATGTACATTCATTTTGGCATGTGTTTGTATGTGTATATGTTGTGTGTTCATGTGGGTATTGGATAATTGTGTTTGCCATTGTGCATGTGTTTTGGTTCATGTTGGTCTGGGTAAATATGTATGTATTCATTGTGTGTTTGTTATTTCATTTATATGTAGGCATGTATGTATGACGTGTGTTTGTGTGTGTATGGTGTGTGTGTGTGTTCATGTGGGATGTAGGGTGCATTAATGTGGCTGCATGTATTATGTGTGTGTGAATGCTATGTTCACGTGAGAGTGGGTACATGTGTATGAACGGTTATGATACGTGTTTAGGTTCCCATGTGCTTGTATACATGTGAATGTGGAGGCCAGAGGTCAGCCTTATGCAGTGGCTCAGGTGCCTTCCACTTTGTCTTTGAGACACCATCTCTCACTGGCCTGGAACCCACTGATTCAGGTACACTGATTGGCCGGTGAGATCCCCTGCCTCCATCTCCTCAGCAGTGGGATTGCGAGCTCGAACCGCTGTGGTGGCTTTTCAGTATGAGTGCTGCCGACCTAACTCAGGCTGCCGTGCTTGCAAGGCAAACACCTCACTCTGAGCCGTCTCTGAAGCCTATTGTGGTGTCTGCTTCTGAAAAATAAGAAGCAATTTTTAACACATTCAGGGCCTTAGGGAGCCAGGTTTTGAGAGCAGGACTAGCATGGTGGGCCCAGCCGGGGTAGTGGGTGGCAGCCAGCTGGCCTGGGGTGCTGAGAAGTTGGGCAAGAGATGGAGGAGTGAGTGTTACTTCCCCACAGTGGGAAGGCTGATGGGGAGAGCCTAGTTGTGGTCTTGGAAGTGTCCCAGCTGGAACCTTGGGAGAGAGAAGAAGAGCACAAGTGTCTAAAGCATCCTTCTCCTGGGCTGCTTGCTCCTGGGTCCTATCCACTGGGAGCAGCTTTTACTTGTCCTCTCAAGCAGTTCTTGGCCAGGAGGTGGCGCTTCTGAACCAGGCCTCTGTCCCCTTAGCCCCACTTCAGACCTGAACAATCACGCTGGCTTGTTCTCTCTCTCTCTCTCTCTCTCTCTCTCTCTCTCTCTCTCTCTCCACTCACTTAATTTACCCAGAGGGAATTGCATTTGAGTCCAGTCACCTTGTTAGCTGGCCATGTCCTGTCATCTAACAGGGAGATTGTCTTTTTGCCTCTCCGAGGTGCTGGAGGAGGTGGCCGATTTATCAAGGCTTCCTGTCTGTTAATTTCATGCTTCAATTCAGGTCAGTCGACCTCTTATTATCTTATTATCGACCTCTTCTCATTTTCCAGTCCCTGCTTTCAGCCAGGGACACAGTCATAAGCGGGACATAGTCCTCAGCTGAGGAGTATAAAAGAAATAACAAGAACGTGATGGAATGATTCCACACTAGGAGAATTCATTTACCATGTCATGTGACCGTTCATAGAAGGCAGTGGCTGATTCTGTATCCCCTCCACCCCCACCCAAGGTGGGGGAATCAGGAAGGTTTCAAAGAGGAAGCAATGTTTGAAAAGGTTTCTGAGGGCTGAATAGGAGCTTGCTGTACAATGAAGCAAGTGCACACTCATAGCTGAAAGCATCAGACAGATACTTTATTATTATTTCTCTTGATTCTCTAGCCGTATGAGTTGGGATAGTTGGAAAGCAATTTTAGTCGTACAAAAATTGCTGAGGTCCTGGTTAAAAGGCATACCGAAGGTGAAGCCTGAGAGCCTAAATCTTTGGCACATGTGCAGGTGATGCTAAGTGATACGCATGAAGCCAACCGTCATGATGTTATCTGTGACCTGAGCCTACCACTCGCCTCCCATA